ATCTCCCTTCTCTTATAAAAAGTAATATTTTCTTGGGTAATCAGCATTTTTATGCATATTTTTAAGAACTAATTTTCCTTTAAATTTTTGTCAAGCTTTATTTTTTCCATGTTCCAGTTTTGTTTCATCAGCCCAGTACAGAGCCTATCAAGCTTATTTTGCCCACATGATAGTGCTCATAAGGCACTTAAAAAGAAAATAGTTCCAGGACATATTTGCTTACCCTTCTCTGGCAGTTTACAGCAGGGGATGGAAATAGTGTACTGTTTGTGTATCTTCAGTTTACATTTATTTTCTGGTGGATTCTGTTGCACTCAAAGGGAAGAAACTGTGTCTTCACCAAAGAAAGACATGTCTTTGGGCCTTGGAACAGAACAAAGTTATCTAAATGCAGTGTGTTTATTCCTCTTTTGCAGTGAGAGTAATGCCTTTGTTTGTCTTCATTAGCTGAATCAGAAAGTAGTTTTTTGATAATCAAAGCAGGTATATTCAGTGATACAGGGGTAACAGAGTACTGCCCAGTAATTCCAAGCACTATAGCTCGTACTTGTAGTGTGCTGGCCAATCATCTTGAGTCTCCATTAGCAGTAAATGTTTCAGACTGTATACAGATGAAAAGCCAGTAGCTCCTCTTAGTGAAGTTACATATTTTGTGTTGTTTCCCTTTATTGTTCTTTTTCTCACCAATAGAAACTCAACACAAGTCTCTTCATTAATGGAAACACAAGGTGATTTTTCAATGAGCATATTACAGTCTAATTTTTGCCAAATGCCTTCTTTCACTTTGAGTTTAATATGTACATAAAAAAACTGAGTGCTGTTTTGATATGAGATCTCTCAGTCATGCAGTAGAATTTATTTAACCAATTGTAAGATTTTTTTTTATTAAACAGCCCGTATATCATTTGTTGTTGCCTGTTCTCTAAAACCCTGAGACCTGTTAACCAAGCATAATAGAAATGAAGGAAAACAGTCAATGAAGGAGCTCACAGTGAATGTTATTGTACTGTACTTTTGTGTAACAGTGCTGATTGACACTTGAATGTGTATGATAGTTGAAAATTAAAATAAAACTGGTTCTGTAAATTGCTGTTGTTTTTCTTTACTGTGATACACTTAGCCATTAAAATAAATTTCTCTTCCTATTGGCCAACAGTGTAAATGGGAATGTCTGTTAACTTCCATCCTTATAATTTGTAACTGTTAAAACTTAAATTGTGAATATCCTGAATTATTGTTACTTTATGTCCTTGCTTGCATTGTAGGCAAATGACATTATTGGTTGACAAATCTACAGTATGTAGTTCATAATCCTGCAGGGAAGAAGGATGGTTTTAGTATTCTTCCTTACAAATTAACTATATCACTGTGTCGATTGGGTATGGTATTGTTATGGTTTTCTTTACATTTTGTGTTTCTTCTTTTTGCACATGGGTTTTTTGTTGTTGTTGCCTTGCCCAGTCATAAGCATGACAAGGTGACTTATATTATAACCATCTGTTTCTGTCTCGGCCCGTTTCTGGTTGAGCATTGCGGTGTGACTTGGGTCAGAGTTGTGTTTAAAATTCAGAGCCAATCAAAAGTCTTGTCCACCATATTGGAACAATGTATTGTTGCAATACTGGTCCTTTCATGGTCGAAGCTATATTTCAACAGAATCCCTGAAGAAAGTCGCACAAGTGAACTAGAACCTTCAGGCAGTGTGTTCCCAGTTGGTTTTATACAATTACATTTTGATATTAATGGTGACTAGTGGCGGAACGTCATATCAAATTGCATATGCAGTCATTCCGATTGATTCAATGAATGTTTAATCAATTGAAATATTAAATCTTGTTTTTTTTTTCTTTTATATGGCTTTAATCCTGATCCGTTCTTAATATTTGCATTGAGCACTGGAGAAAGAACATTTTTTGTTTTTGTTTTATCAGAGCAGTAAAAATCGTTTTGAAAATTGTATATTCCCAGTAGATGGTGCCCTTTTGGCTGATGTGTATGGCCTTCAGTTTCATCTTTTCCATTAACTGATGAAACAGGCAGTTCCTCCTGGGAAAAGCGTTCTTTGTGTCTGATATTGCTTAAATAACTGATGCTTGTTAGAGCCACTTCAAACTGCCATTTAGGTGACAGGAATACAATTTACAGTTAAGTGGTGTAGGTGTGATTTCACTGACAGTATTATGTTGTAACTTTACAATGTGTTTGCCTATATACTTTATTTTATATACTATATACTTGTGATCACAAACGACAGTTTCCCAATATACTGTAGGGGACATGTTCTTTAATTCAAATTCAAAGACTGCAGGTAATACTGTACCTTATACTTTTTATTCAAGTATAAAGTATTACCTTATTTTGAAGTAGTTCAGGTGTGTAGCTGTGTCAGAATGCGTAGGCTGCAAAGGACCATTACCTTATTTTGTATTATGATTATCTACCTCATTATGCTGATGTTCCAACTCAAACATAGAATGATTTCTCACTTTTTTGCAAATGAAAAAAGACAACCTCCAAGAAAGAAACTTTCATGGCATAAGATGTCTGTAAAGAGTACAAAATAAAAGGTGCCACAGTGTTTATTCATTTGGTAGTAATTGGAGCATACCGTTAAAAAATGGAATTTGTCCAAAGAAATGGCATAGTTACAATTCATTCTGAAGGTTTGATAAATCTAGCCCAATATGCTTTGGGATTTGGTGTCTCAGTATTTGAAACATGATCTTTTATTAGCCTTCTGTTAATGTGCTAATTTTCATCATTAATAGTGAATTTCACAACAGGGGACTTGCCTTTGCCAAGCCTTGGAGCTAAAATGTTTTATTACATTTTTGTTGAAGTTTTGCTCTTCTGTAGATTTAGGTGATCCAGTGATTTAGTAATTACAGTTCAGAGCATTGGATCAGGTGAATTGAAAACCACACTCAACCCAATACATTTATGTAGCAGAATGTTTTAAGCTGTACATGGAGATGTATCTGTATATTATTCAGCGTGCAGAATAATTATTTCTGTTGCACTGAGTTCTGCGTTTTTGTAAGATGCTATGGCCACCCATCATTTGAAGCTAGATGATTTAGCTCATTACTAGAAAGTTGTCCTACTTCAAGTGTAATTTTATTTTACAGTATTGCAGCCATGTTATAGATAAGCACTTTGCTATTGATTGTCATTGCTGAGGTAATTATTTCTGATGGTCAATCTATTTGTCTGAATCTCTTAATAAATTGCCAGTTAATTTTCACTGAAGACCAGAGCTTCTTGTAAATAGTGTCTTCAGGATTACAAGTATCACAAACAATTGTTTTATATAGTTTATTGTATAACTAGTGGCAAAGCAGGCTTTTGAGGCTGTTTTAATTAATGCTAACAGAATTGAAAACGATTTGGATTAACATCTTCTGTTAAAGCAGCAGCAGAGATAAAATGACTCTGCTGTCACAAACCTCCTGTTAAGAAAGCAGTAAATGAATCTCCATAACCTCATAAAAGTCCCCATTGGAAGATCAGATTAATAGTGGTTAACAAGTCAGGCTTCCTGCAAACAGTATGGTATTCTCAAGATTGCCTGATCAAAAGATCTTATAGATGTTTTTTTAAGTGTCCTTTGTGATGTGGTGTTGTTTGCCTTGCAATTTACAGTATTTCAAGAGTTCTCTGAAAGTAAAAATGCATTTATAATTTCACATATAACCAAATCCTTTTTACAGAGTGAGTGAAATACTTAAATTAAAGAAGATGTATTCTGTATGGAAAGCACTTCTTGTAGAAGGCTTTCTCATAAAAAGGATCAAAGTAAAGCTGTGTAGAGAATTATATTATGGCACATAATGGAACAGTGATATAATATCTTAATATGCAAAGTCATACCCAAAATTTTGAATGCAATAGTGCATGTGCAGAAGGTGATATGACCTTAATTTACAACAACCCTGATTTAAGTGTCTTCAAAGACTTTATCATACATTTTCATTTGATTAGCTGGAACATTGTTATCTTACGTAAATGTTCTTAAATTCCAGTGCCCACGCTAACTGCTCTCAAAAATACTTCAATATTGGCTGGAAGTTCCTTACAGAACAACTGTCAGGCACAGAGCCCATATGTGACAGCAGTGAATGATGCCCCCTTCGTAAATTCCTGTTCAAAAGCTCTGAAACAAATTGATTTTCTACGCTGTTGGCTGTTCTATATTTTTTTATTGTCTTTTGTTCTTATGAAAGGTACTGGAGTGATATAGCTGGGAACTGTATCTTCTGTTTGGCGATTCTGACATGCAGTACAATCTTTAGGTTGCGAGCTGTCCACCCCTTCTGTGTTAGGCCTTGTGTTTTCTTCTCAAGACTGACTTTGAAATGCATTCACCATTTGCATTTTAGTTTTAGTGGCAGCCTAGAAGAAAGAAAGAGTTAGAGGGGGAGTTAGAGACCTTTTTCCCAATAAAAAAGAAACTAATGAAAAAATAACGATAATGTACTGGTTATGCAGCAATTGTTGTTTGTGAGTCTTCTGAGACTGGTTTGTGTTAAAAGATTTTTCATTGCATTTGATTCTTTGCCTCCAGGTCGCATGACTCTGGATCTGTTCATCTTACTTGCTTGTGAGAAAAAATAATAAATGATCACTGCAAAAAATGGAAACACTGTTTTTTAAACACAGTTCTTTACATTTAAGAACTTTAGAAGCCATCCATTTAATGTATTTTCTGAAAGTCTGGTTTTAAGACACACTATAAATTAATTTGCACTTGATAAGTAATTCAAACAAGCTGTCCAGGATCAATAAGTGTCACCTCTAGATATTTAAATTGTATAGATTTTTAAATTACATGTATGTAAGAAAAATAGTT